GCCCACACTGGTTTGGGCCCACGGGACTGTTCCCACTCTGAAAGCCTGTCACAAGCCTTGAGCTGTCATCTGTGTTTCTGAACAGACAGCTCTAAGCTGGGGCCTCAGGCCCCTCCTTGGGCTCTATCTCTTTGCTGAGACACAGAACTTGGGACACACTTGCACAGATAGGCCGGCTACAAAGGTAAAGAGGAACGACCCGATGGGAGCTATGGAGAGAGCAAGGCAAGAGAAGTGGCGAAAAGCCTTGTGCCCTGGCTGAACTCTCCACCTGCCTCTATTCCCCAGTGTCCGGCCTGTGGCAGCTCCCTTCACCCAGGCCTTGGACTTCTTATAAAGAACTTATAAGGCAGTCCTCATTGGCGAAGCATAGGCTGTGCCAAGCCAGTGTGACTTTCAGCCTCTCAGTCCTCCTTGCGTCCACAGACGGGATTTTGAAGGTTGGTAATTCCTATCCCTCATTCACACTCAGAGACCCTCTAAACGCTCTGGAGACTCGATGGGGTACAGGAGCTGTGGGCCAGGGGCCAGGCGTGGAGACCAACTGGATACTTCCCAGTCCATCGTAGCACCACGCCCCCATTTTGTGGATGGGGACGATGAGGCCTGAGGAGGTTAAAGGTCACCCTACAGAGCCACCCACAGCTCAGGGGTGCTGCTGTCCTCAGGGTTCCTCCACAGGGTCCTGTTGGCTCACATGTATTGCGCTATTTTTCAGCTGGGTGAGGGTGGGGTTCCAGGCTGGACAGTTTGTCCTGGGCAGGGAGCCAGCTGAAAGCCCCTGGGGAACAGCACAGCCCTGTTTCTTGAGGGCAGACTGTGCCTTGACCCTGGCCAGCTGTCCTGTCTCCCTCCATCTGGAGTGAGTAGTTAGTGGGCACAGAGTGTGTGTTGCCTGCCTTAGAGAGGACGGAGCCCTCTGTTAGAGGCTCTGTGCTGTCCCAGATGGGACAGGGCTGGGCCCCTCATCTCCATTCCTTTCCCAGCTGTTTGGCCTTGGACAGTCTCCCTAGCCAGACATCCATCCACTTGTCTGGGAAATGGGAGTGTCCCAGAGGATGGCTGAGGTGAACAGTGGAGGAGGAAATGGCTAGGTGGAAAGCCCCCTGTAGGGCCTCAGCTTCCCTTTGGGCTATCCTGCCTCTGGCCCCGCCTCTGCCAAGCTCACCCTTAAAGCTTTGCCCCTTCACAAGACTGATGCCTGCAGAAAGGAAAGGCTCAGGGCTGAGCTCGGGGATCCCGACACCAATTTCTTGACCCAGCAGGCTTGTCAACCCTTTTGATAGTTGGGGAAACTGAGGATAGCCCTGTGCTCGGAGCAACAGGCAAGTAAACCTGGGTTCAAAACCAGGGCTTTGTGCTTCCCAAGGTGGAAAGGGTTTCCATCCATCCAGATTGCCCACCTGATAAATGAGAGAGTCTGAGCATCAGAGTCAAGGACTCATCTGCCAGGGGCCACCCCAACATCTCAGGCCATCTTCCTTCAACTGTCCCCAGCCTCCCTTTTGCTCGGGTTGCAAGGTCCTGAGTATTGGGATAACTGGTCACATCACTCCTACTTGGGGTTGTCTGTGAGCTTTTCTTCTCCCACAGCCGGTTACAAACCTTTGCCTAAAGTCCCATGGAGGGACTCCACAGGCCCCACCTTTCAGAGCAGCCTCTGGGGGCAAGGCTTTGCTATTTGAAGCTACAATGATGGGGCAATTTCCCATTCATGGGAACTCCTTGCCACGTTCCCACCTTGCCAATAAATTAAGTCCCTGTGGCCTTTAAGAGACAACTGGGGATTCAGAAAACACAGAAAGCCATGTGATTTAGAGTGACAGAGTTTGGGAGTCAGTAGGAGACTTTGCTGAGGCTCTGGAGAGATATCTTCCAGTAACAAAAGCAGGGGCTGGCAGGCCTGGGACCAAAGGACTGAGTCTGGGTCCCATTTAGTGAGCCGTCACTATGTTCCAGCGCCTATCTCAGGAACTCCCACGGACCAACTTAAATCATGCTAACCAACAAGATTTCTGAAGCCTTGTGGTTCTCATTCTACAAGTAAGGAAGCCAAGAGACAGAGAGATACTTCATTTGGCTAAGGACTCACAGCTTGTGACCAATGCGGCCTGGGCAGTCAACTCCACCTACTCATCATCAACCGTTCTCCATCCCTGCTCACATTCTACCAAGGTCCTGGTGTGAGTGTTAAGCAGACTACCATGGCCCCAACACATGCCAATGGCCAGGGACAGCAGAAGTGCAAAGAAAGCAAATCCATAGTCACTGACGCCCAGCCATCAGCAGCATCTTACCTGCAGTGGCCAAGGCATCGGTGTCACACACAAGGTCCATCTCAGTGACTTGCTGTCACACTGGACAAGATATCCTCAAGTGTTGGCTGCCTCCTCTGGAAAGTGATGGGACATAAATACCAACTCCGTGGGGCTGTCGGGGGTGCGGCCAACTGAGCCTTGCAGAGTGTGCAAGGATCTCAGCACAAAGCTGGATGCAGCCAAAGCACCCGCTGGTTCCCGAGTCTCTATTTTTAAATTCTTGCATGTTCGTGTATGTGCCTAAGCTTAGGAGCCATCACCTGTACACGTGGAGGCCAGACATGGACGACTGTGTTCTTTCTCCCCACCTTGCTTTTAACACAGAATCTCTCACTCCACGTGGTGCTCACTGATCCAGCAGTGAGCTCAGGGATCTGCCTGTCTCAGTCTCCCTGCTCTGGGGTCATGGGCATGTACTGGCACATCACACTTTTTACATGGATTTGAGCTCAGGTCCCCGTGCTTGCACGATAGGCACTCCACAAGTGCTCACCCACTGAGCCACCTCCTGGCCTTTGAATGATGCCATTCACCCATAGTTCATGGCTGTACCCCTTCTCCCTAGGAGCTACCATGGGCAGGTCCATAGTTGAGGTATGACTCTTCTTGGAAACAGGAGGATGTGCAAGACCTTGGGGTACCCTCCTACCCAAAGATCCTTGGCTCATTCATCCCTTCTCGCCTTCCCCTCTCCCCTCATCTCCAAAGGCAGTTGTGGATCTCGCTAAAGTCAGCTTTCATTCTTACTCCCCAGGCTTCCTGCTCCTTGCCTGTGGTCTCCACTTACTGGATGCTGTTGCTATGGTAACAACAGCTTAAGAGCCTTAGGCCCCCCTCTGAGGTGACAGGCTTGGATGGAGATGACTTATCAAATTCCTAGAGTATTGTCAGCCTTCAGAAAGCAAGGCCTCGGAGAAGAATGCAAATTCTGAGCTGCCTTGAGCCTCAAGGTTCTCTAGGGAACCAGCCTGGGTTTCAAGTGTCCCCTGAAATTCAAGTGTTAGAAACTTGAGAGATGGAAGTTGTAAGGTCATAAGGGTTCTTGATGTCCTTCTACTAGTTTGATGTGGCTGTGTTTGCTCCTTCCCCCTCTTCCACACAGACTCCACCCACAGGTAATGCTGGCTCAGAAGGTCCTCACCAGAAGCAGTCCCTTGACCTTGGTCTCCCCAGACTCTAGAACTGGGAGTCCAATAAACTTCCACTGTTTGTAAGTCACATAGCCTGTGGCAATCTGTGATGGAAGCAGAATGGACTACAATGGCAGGTGGCCCCCGTGAAGCCTCCAGCCTGCCCCAGGCCCAGCGCTGGTTTTAGTGTGTGCTGTGAGGGGCTGCCTCTCCCTGGGAAGGCTTTCTTACAATCCACCTTTGCTGGTGGCTGTGAAGCAGGCAGCCTCACATCTCCTGAGACATGTCATCCTCTCAAGCCTGATTCAGGCTTTCTCTCCTCCCGCCTCAGCCCCACTAGTGGGAGGATAGGTATCCTGCCCTCCTCCCAGGGCCTGGAAAAAGTCAGGCGGGGCTGTCAGGAGGCCAGCTCAGTAGTGAAGACTGATTCAGAGAGCCCTGTGAGTGCATCCAACATGTCCATGCTCAGAGGGGACACTGAGAGACTAAAGAATTAAAAATTAGATTTTTTGGGAGGGTATTTGTTTAAAGTTTAAAGCACAAGCCTGAACAAAGGCCAGCCAAGTAGAGACATGTCCAGCCACTTGGGGAGAGGAACTAGCTTTACGGCATTCTTTTCCTGCCCACTAGAGATACAATTGCTAGGAAACCGACCCAGATGGCCAGACCAGAACCATTTATGGTCTTGGCACCTAAAGTAAACCAATCATTTCAAAAGTCAATTTCCCTTATCCAATCATATAACACCAAGGCATGTAATCTGCTGCTTGTGGTTTTTCCCTTTAAAAACCTTGTTCTCCTAGACAGCACTGTCTCACTCCTCCCCTTCACTAAGGAGGTTGCTGTGCCCAGGGCTTGAGCTTGTATTAAATAAACCTTCATATATATGCAGAGGAGTCAATTCCTGGTAGTCTTTGGGGGGTCTCATGAACTAGGCATAACAACACTAGGGGGTACTATGCTAACCCTGTAAAAAACTGGGTGCTGTGGGTCTCCTCGATTGCACCCATCCTCACCTGCTTTCTAAGACTGTGCTACCCACCTCCACTGCTGCCCTGATGATTCTCAGCACAGTTGACATTGAACATGGGACGAGGTGATGAGGTAACACTCTATGGGAACTGGGTGTGTGTGAAATGCAAAAACAAGATTCCATGTGGTTCCTTGAGTGTGCGTGGGGGGGCGTAGAAGGGCAGTCCCCAGGGAGACCTCTGCACCAAATATTCTCTTCCTCTGCCATGTTGCTGCCCTCGCCCACCAGAGCCAGCTCCTTGGGAGTAGGAGTACTGGGCTGTCTCCACCCTCAGATGGGCACCTGGGAGACCTGCTGCTGTCCCTGCTGATCTCCTGGCACACCTCAGCAAGATGGAGCTTGCTTGGCAAATGCCCTTTATCTCCCCCCAACCCCGGGCTTAGCCTCTTCCCAGTGGCTCCTAGGGTCACTGTCGAATGCAAAGTCTCAGGGTCTGTTACTGTGGGGCTTCAGACAAGGCCCCTCCCACTACTTTGTTAGCTGACAGCCTTGCCATGTGAGACTCTGCCATGCCAGCCCTCAATAAAAATGTCCTTTTATTGAGTCTGGATTCTAACGCCTACATGCGTTCTTCCATGTAGGTAACAGTCTATCCCCTCAGAGTTTGCTGGAGCCAGAAGATGGTCCTCCTCACATTGCTTCATGGCCATGTGTGACAGCGTGGCATGGGCTCTATAGAACCCCTCTGTCAGTCCTATCACAGCCCCCGGAGCTGGTGTGATAGTTCAGATCCAGTTAGAGGGACGAGGGAGGGCTTGTTTGGGGTGAGTCCTCCAAGGATGTCTGTGAGCCTGTTCCTTCAGAGGAAAAGCTGCCCCCAGTCGGGTGCGAGGCCTTGCTCTGTCTGGGAAGGTGGTTCCAGGAAAAGAGGGAAGCAAGGAGACGCTCCGGGGTGGGCTCGGGGAGCTTGGGGGTACCCCTGCCCTCCTCGCTGTTCATAGACTGTCCAGCTTCCTGGGGTGTCAGGCCTGCCCACATGTCTCTTCTCTGTTCCCCTTGAGGGCACTGGGGAGGACAGTGGGACTTTGACACATGGTCCAGGGCCAGAGAGTCCTGTAGAGCCCTGTCCCATTTGGAAACCACTTCTGTAGGCAGACCCTGGCCCTTAGGCCCCGGCCTAATCCAATCTGTGTGTGCCGAGTGGGCAGCAGGAACCTCTGGGCATGGGCAATAGGCTAGAGCCTTCCTCAGCAAGCTCTGGATCTCCTGGTGTCGCTCCTGCACCTCTTCCCACAACTCCTGGCCCAGGCCAGCCCGGCTCAGGGAGGCCACCTGGAGCTTCATGGCCAGGAGCTTCTCCGGTTGGAACTCAGACACCAGGAGCTTCAGGTAGCGGTGCAGGCGGAGGTGGAGCTGGTCCCCAGGGCTGGCCCTCAAGGCCTTGCCCTGCCTGAGCTGGGTCATCAGGTCCTGACAGTCCATGTGGAACCGGGACATCTAAGGGCAGGAGGAGAAAGGGAGGCAGGGGGTCCATAAAGGCAAGATGAGTCTCTGAGCAGGGGCTTTTGAGTCAGTGTGACTGAGTGAACTGATAGGTACACAGCCTGGTGACAATACTCTCTGCTGACTGTGATGACATTATCCCCCTTTTGGGGGACCTCATATGGGTGCCCCCTGCAAATAGCCTCTAGCAGCACCCTTAGGCTCTTCAGGCATCTCCTGACAGGCCCATGGACCAGCAGGGCATACCGTAAAACAAGAGCTGCAGAACTGAGAGTGGAGTTGGGGAGGAAGGGCTCAGTGGGCAAAGGAAGCAGCTTAGTGCAACACGAGCCTGAGAACCTGAGTTCAAATCCCCAGAAAACATGCAAAGTTGCCTAGGGGAGATTGCAACTGTAATCCCAGTGCTTCTGATGTGGGACGGGGGGCTGAAACAGGGCAATCCCAGCAAGCTCTAGGGCCAGGGAGCCTGGCATTTATCCTCTGACCTCCACAGGCACCTGTGTAACGCACACACACACACACACACACACACACACACACACACACACACACACGAGTGTAGTCAGGCCTGGGGGTATAAGTCTGTCATTCTGGGCACTCAGGACGTCAAGATTGGAGGATGATACATCCAAGGCCTTCCTGGGCTACAGAGTGAGTTCAAGTCTAGCCTGGGCAACTTAAGGACCCTGCCTCAAAATAAAAAGTAAAAAGGGATCCAGGGGTAGGGAGCCCAGTCACTGGGGAAGGAGCACGCTAGTACGTCCTGAGTGCCATCTGTTCGCTGGTTCTGCGTCACTACTCTGAGCTGGATCAGCAGCTCATCCCGCAGAGAGGAAAACCGAGGCTCCAGGCAGTGAAGTCACCTGTCCCAAGTGGCACACTGAGGCAAGGCAGAGCTGGACTCCCATCCTGGATCTGGCCTGCCTCCTACAGTTCCGTTTCATGCACCCAAAGAAAAGGTGGCTCTGGCAGGGGTGGGTGGGTCAGCTCAGCAGGCTCCGCAGCCCATACACTAGCTGGGCCTCTGCCCAGCATGTGATTCTCCCCTCCCCTCCCTCGAACCTCCTCACTCCCCACCCCCGGCATGCTACAGCCGCTCATGCAAAGGATCATCTCTCTCTCTCCATTAATTTAGGGCCGACAGAAAGCCACTAGCCAGAGGACAGCAGAGCCATTTGCTGCTCGGAGGCGTCTCTCTGCGGATTAAGGGAGCTTGTCTTTAGATAAATGGCTTCATATTCGCTGTAGCACTCAAAACTCATGGCACCATAAATCTCCGTTAGCCGACAATCGAGTTAGGATTATTTAGGGCAGAAGGTACCCAGCCTGGGCAGGGTCCTGCGTGGCTGCACCTTCCCAGCCAAGCCTGACAGTCATGGCCAGTGACTCAGAACTGTCAGGGCGGCAGTGTGCAGCCCTGGTCAAACCACCAGAGGCAGACAGGGAGACAGCCAGGCATGCCCTCTCCCATGGTGCTCTTCCTGCCCTGGCTGAATGCTACCTTCTTCTCACAGACTCAGCCTGCCCTCTTCTCTCCCCCTCCCCTTCTTTTTACCCATCCCAGGCTAGCTCTCTCTGAACACCGAGTGTGCTCTGTAGCCTCAGAGAGCTCACAACCCAGAGGGCACAAGGGAGCAGTCAGCAGCAGGGTCATTTCAGATCCTGGAGAGCATGGTGAAGCTGCAGATTGGGAGGTGCTGGGAATCAAACCTGCGTCTCCTGGAGAGCAGCCACTGAGCCATCTCTCCAGCCCAAATTTGCTTCTCCTACCACCTGGCTGGGAGTACAGTCAAGCCCAATGTCTGGGTTTTGAACTGCAGCCCTGGCAGCTGCCAGCTGTGTGACTTTCGGTGAGCTGATCAACCTCTCTGTTTTCAGTAGAGGGTTGGCGTGACAGTGAAGTGATTGGAACAGAGCCTAGCACTCGAGACCTCGTTTTTATTAACAGCAGCACTGGCCATATTTGTTATCAGCAGAAGCTGAGGCTCAGAGCAGTGGGGATGGCCGTGGAGGTCTCACAGCCCACATGGGCACACATGGCCCATGTCTTTGCACTCCTGTGCTCTCCATACTGGGGAAGGGGGAGGGTGTCCCTTCCCTGCCAACAGCTGACATCTGCCTGCCTTGTCCCTGACCGGAGGAAACAGAGAAGCCCTGTCCTCTGGGTCCCTAGGCATGCGTGAGTTGTCTGGGTCCCTTCTACTGTCCTCTGAAGCATCCTGTGTTTCCTTCGGCCCCTTCATGCTAAGACAGCCAACAGCTGGGGGGTGGGATCAAGCTCCTCCCACGCTCTGTCCCTCCTGGCAAGTTCAAAGGGCAGCTGAGGGCATAGGACATCCCTGTGGCTTCCTGTCCGCTTGGTCCCAGCTATCCGAGACTGCTTTCTTGTTCAAAGGCCTCAGTTTCTCCGTTAGAAAAATGGGGGGGGGGGGGCTGGTTATGTGGATTTAGGGGGTGAAACTTTGCAGTCAAATCCTACTCAAGGACTGCTTAACCCTACCCACTTTCCTCCCCTGTAAAATGAGAGCAATGAAGGTGGCCCTGACACACCCAGAGGCAGGCAAGTGCCGGCTCGCAGGGTCTGCACTCTGGCGGATTTCCCGTCTAACGTAATGTCTTGTCTTCACCCTGCCTGCTTGGGTAAGGGGGCCCCAAGCCTGCGCCACCCCAGCGGGAAGATGTGGGTGTGTGCCAACAGGCCGTGGGGCCCGCTCACCTTCCTTCTGAAGCGGTGGAGGTGAAGCAGCGTCTCCAGGTCAGTGCGCTGCCTCTCTGCGGCCATGTAGAAGTGTGTCAGCCTGGCTTGGAAGGCCTGCTGGGTGGAGGCAAAGGCCTGCAGGTCCGGGAGCCCCGTCTCACCTGCCCATTCCTCCGTAGCTCCCAGCTGGGCTGCCTGCTTGCACAGTTCCAGGCCCTGGCGGTACTGGGCCTGAGACGGAAGAAAGGCTGTTTACTCAACTCCTGCCTGAGGACCCATGCAGCAGTCAGGAGCCTCCCTGGCTTCCTGAGCCTCAGTTTCCCTATCTACAAGGCTCAGCCCGTGGTCAAAAGTTAACACATGGGCATTGTCACACATCCAACAGTCTGGGACTTTGCCATGAAAGTTCAGAATTATCTGGAAGGTTCTCTATGTCAGAGGCTTTGATCCCCCACAGTCTTCTCTGCTGTCTCCAGGCCGCTTCCATCTTCCCTGCCTGGAGTTCTCTGTGTGCTGTGACAGGCCAAGGCCTTCTGTGTCTATCACAAATATGACTGTCTCTCTACACTGACCCAGCAGGCCTAGGTCTGTGCCCTGGAACCTGCATTTTAAGAAACCATCAGGGATTCTGATTTGTTGGTACTTGGCCGTGGAGGACTTCCTGGAGGAGGCAGAACCTAAAGCGATGCCTCCGTGGTCCAAACTGCCCCCTCGCTGCCCCTGAAATCTCCCTTGCACTTTCCCACCCTGCATCTGGGATGTGGCAGACTCCTTTCCAACACCCTCTTGGCCATTGAGGTCCTGGAACCTACCGCAACCTGCAGGAAGAAATCCTCAAACTCTGCGTGGACTTTCTCGACTGTCTCCGCGCATATGTCCACGGGGGCGAGTGCCTGCAGACACTGGCTTCCTTCCCGCTCCATCCAGTCGTTGACCTGGGCAGAGGACAGGGATGGAGGTTGTGATGGGCAGCTAAGGAGCCACCCTGGGCCAACTGCCTACTTCCGTGTGTGTATAAATGCGTGTGTGTGTGTGTGTGTGTGTGTGTGTGTGTGTGTGTGCACGCGTGCGTATGCAGGTGGGTGTATGTGAGTGCACTTGTATGTGGAGGTGAGAGGTCAACCTGGGTGTTGCTCCCTAGGCTCTTACCACCTATTTATTTAGTTATTTATCTATCTATCTATCTATCTATCTATCTATCTATCTATCTATCTATCTATCTATCTATTTATTTTTGATACGCTGAGCTCTGGGGCTCACCAATGAGGCGAGGCCTGGCTGGCTGGAGGGCTCCAGGGGTCTTCTGTCTCGGCCTCCTTCGTGCTGAGATGACAAGTGGCGTACACTTGTCAAAGTATACCCAGCGCTTTATGTAGGTTTTTCGGATCAGACTCGGGTCCATGTATTTGTATGATAGAAACACTCCCCTGTCTGAGCTAGCGAACTCTGATCTCTTGACTTCTGAGGCGGGGTGGGGGAGCAAAATCTTCCTGTCCTGTCAGTCATGGGCCTGGACAGCAAAATCGGGGAGGGAAGGGAGCGTGTGGCTGCATTCTGCCAATGCCAGAGGGCAATGACCTCCTTCGGCTCATTCCAGAGGGGATGCGGTACTGTGAGTATCCTGTCCTGCACACAGCAGACCCTCTGTGTGTGTGAAACCAAGGTGGCTCGGGGTCACAGGAAGCAAGACTTAAGCCAGTCTGGCCACTCCCTGCCTCCTGGTCCTAAAAATGTTCATCTCTGGGGGATGAGCTCCCTGTCTTAGGGGTGTGTAACGGTCTGGGGAAACACCTGCCAGTGGCAAAGAGTCAACTGCCGCCCCTGGCTCCGTTTTATGCCTCGGCACGAATAGTGAGGGTCGGGCGGTAAGAGGGGCCTCTGGTCCTGTGACTGAATGCCAGTGAATGCATGTTTTCTGCCTTGCTCGGAACGCTGAGGGCTGCCAGCCTGGTGTTTAAACTTCAGAACAAAGGGACCCCTGTAAAGCGCCATGTCCCCCAGGAGGTGTCTCCTTCACCTGGCGAATGGCAGCTTCCAGGTGGCCCAGGCGGACACGGAGCTCCAGCCTTCGGAGGAGGTGATTGGACGCCGTGACCAGGACGTGAAGCTGATCGTCCACGAGGTTGTAGAGGGTGACAGCCTCCATCAGACAACTCCTGGGGACAGAGGATGAGAAGATGCCCCTCCCTGTGATTTCATCAGGCTCGAGCCTGCCTCCCTAATCTGTGGCCCCAGCTGGGGTGCTGTGTGGCCTAGAGCAGGTTCCTAGCCTTCTCTGGGCCTCAGCTGCAAACCTGAGGATGCCACAGGAACCAAAATAATCTCCCTCTTCCTTGGCAAAGTATTAAGCCATCTGGGTAGATCTGAGTATGAATCCCAGCTGGCTTACAAGCTGGTGTGGGTCCCTGTGTAACACCACCACTTTGGGGGGGTGTCTTTGGCTCCCCATCTGTAAAGTGGGGATAGTAACAGGACCCACTTCCCAGAGAGGCTGTGAGCAGTCAGTGACCCGAGCAAGAGCTTCTGGAAGGCCAGCACCCACATTCCATCCCAGGCCTCTGCGTGAGGCCCCGACCATGGAACTTTCTAGCGCTGCTTAGGGGGCTCTGGGCAGCCAGGGACCTTCCCTCCTTCAGGAGAAACACTCTGGAGTGCTGGGCACTGGGGGCTAGCTGGTGCTCACACCTTTGCAACACCCATGGGTGCAGAGAGGGTGGCAACCGTAACCCGTGACTCTGATAATCTCTCAGGGTCCCTGGTTGTCTTCAAACTGTAAGGCCAAGGATGGCCTTGAACCTGGGACCCACCCTCCCTACAAGGCATTTTTAAAGTGGCCAAAGCCAGAGGACCTGAAACAGGCTAGTCCTATGGGGCTTCTCCTGTGGTGATGCTCAGTGAAGGGAGAAACCTGGAGTCCCCAACTCCTGCCCTGCAGAGCCGGTTTTCAGACAAAGATGATGGAAGGAAAGACTGCCTTTTTAAAGGATTTCTTCTTCTACATCAGAAGAAATCCTCCAAAAAATGCCCCGAAGGAGAGGCTAGCCAAGAGAGCTGCAGGAACCAGCACAGACCAGGGAAGAGGCTGGGTGAGCGTGGGCCCACAGCGCCCCCTGGTGGAGTTCCAGGTCAGCGGTTTGGAGGACCTCGGGTAGACAGGAGAGGCGGACAGAGAAGCAGGTGAGGCAGAAGCATTGTGAGGGGCCGGAGGTGGCTCACACCTGGCACCAGGACCCACTCTTGTTCCGGCTCCACCTGCATGAACCTGCCTCTGGTCTAGGGGTGCAGCTCACAGGTGATGTGTTTGGCCCTAGGATACTCAGTCAGTCCTCCTTGAGTCTCAGGTACCTCAAAAAATAGCAAACGAGTTAATATTTATAATTTTTTTTAGAGCAGTGCACACACACATCAAGTGTTGGCTTGATGCACAAGTTGTTCTTAAGCGTGCGCACACACTTCGCTCTTGACTCCTGACTACAAGCACCTGTGTTTCCTAGAGCAACTATTTCTAGTCACTGGCCAGTTCAATCACACGCTCACTCTCCCTTCTTTCCGGCCCATAAGCATATCAGATTTTGGAATCCTTTCCGATTTCAGGGTACTTGAATATACATAAGGAGGTGTGTGGGCACCTGAACTTCGGCCCAGGCAAGAAGTCTAATTCCATTTCAGACACGCCTTTACACACCGCCTGAAAGTAATTTTACACAGTCATTTCAGTAACTTTTGTGACAAAGTCAAGTTTCTCTGGGTGTAACTTTCCCCTTGTGCCCAGACTGTCTGAGAGTTTAGCAGAGTCGGGACATCTGATTTTCAGATTAAGGAGGCTCCGCTTTGCAGACGTCAGACGTCAAGGAGGCCAGTGTCACCCTCTCTGTGGTTCCGGAGGTCATTCCTCCAGGCTGAGCACGGGCCCCAGCCTGGGTCCCTATGGGCCCTACTGCTACTTCCTCCTCCTCGGTCTCAGTTTCTTCTTGCCAAATAAGGGTGGCGTGGGCAGCGCCAGGTTCTTGCCAGGAGCAAATGAGGCAGATCTTGAAGGGCTTGGGCCAGAGTCTGGGTTGGAAAAGGGCGTGGTCCATGTAGGGAGGGAGGAGACAAGAGGGAAAGTCCTCTAATGCCTGTTCCTGGCTGAAAATGGCCAGAGATGAAGGAGGGGCTCCGGGTTATTCCCAAGGCTCGGGGAGTGAGGAGGCGGCTTCCCTAGACCCACCCTAAGCATTCCCTTCGATGGGGCCCCCTTCCCAGCTCTGATGGGGAACGAAGGATGGGTGTTTATACCTGATATCAGGGTTGGCGTTTAGCCTGCTGGCCTCCTGCTGCAATTTGGCCAGCGTAGCTCCACCTTCCCGCTGGAGAGCCAGCAGCCCCGGGTCCCTCAGCACAGCCTCCATCAGCTCCTTGGACTTGCTCAGGCACCTGGTGGCCTCCTGCCAACAGGAGGTGGGGTGTCCTCAGGCCCAACGTCCACTCTCCCCCTGTAATCTTCTAGGACTTCCAACACAGAGGGAGCCTGACTTTCCCAGCTGGCTCCAAGCATCTCTGGGAAGTCTGTCCTTCGATTTCTAGTGCATCTCCTGATGTTATGACCCTCTCATCACCATGGTAACCTCACTGGTCCTGGCTCCATCCTCTCTCTGGAGCACCCACCCCAGACTCTTGGTTGAGATCTCTGATGCCCTCTGGCTTCTCCTGCATCGACAAAGGACATCAAAAGGCACACCTCATGATCCTCTGCCTCTAACCCCTAGGGCTTCAGTGCCCAGCTCCTGGGTCCATCTTTCAGAGATAGAGAGTCCTTAACCTTCCCCCTTACTCTGCTCCACAGACATCCAACTACACTCTGCCTCAGGGCCTTTGTGCATGCTTCCCTCTGCCCGGGGTTCATTCCCCCTCAAAGACATTCTCTTTCAGGCCTCAACTGATACCATCGCCTTCAAAAAACCACCCCCTTCCTCACTTCTCACTCAATCTTTTATGGCCTTTGGCACAGTTTGTAACTACCTTCCTTTTTCAGCATAGGGTCCCTTGCATGCTAGGCAATTGCTCTGCCATTGATCTATATCCCCAGGCCCTCATAGCCACCTTTTAAACGGCCACTCTGTCTCTGTACCCTGACCCTCACCAGAGCAGAGGCAAGCCGGCTCCTCAGACTGGGTCCCCAGTGCAGGGCACATGGTGGATGTTCAAGTGACAGAGTGAAAACTGGAGTGGCCACCCTGAGGGGCCCCTCCCCAGTGCTCTTGGTACTTAAAGCCCAAGGTGTGCATTCCCTGCCCCCTGCTCCAGGCTTACCTGCACCCCACCAGGGGGGTCGCCCTTCTCAAACTCTTGGATGGAAGCCTGCAGCAGGGACGAGGCCTGGCGAAGGTCGGCCAGGAACGGTTCCAGCTTCTGCAAGGACAGGAGCCAGAGCAGGGCTCAGCCTGGGTGACCAAGAGGAGACAGGCCTTTCCTGAGGCAGGGATGGGAGGGTAGTAGGGTGGAGGGAGGGGAGGGGAGTCACTTGGGAAGGCACCAGTCAGGCCTTCTTGTACCTACGCTCCCTCCCTCCGTCCTAAGCTACATCAGAACCAAGAGGAGGGCTGGTGAAGATGCGGCTCTGAGCCACCCACCTCCCCCCTTCCCTTCCCTTCTCCCCATGCCTCAATCTTCCTCCCACCTCTCCCTCACCTGGCCCCACAGCTGAGCAGTGCTCTGGGGCAGTCTGAGGACATCTACTAGGTCTCCAGGCCACCAAGCTGCTGCTGCAAGGCAGCTAGGCCACTAGTGTGGGGACAAGAGCCAGAAGAGGGAGAAGACAGGCCTGAGCTGTTTGCAGACCTGGGCAGGGGGGGTGGTTCCTTATAGAAGGGCAGAATGGGAGTGAGATCGTGGGCTGGGGAAGCACCCTGGGCCCAGCTCAGCCATCAGCTAGCTGTGAGACCACAGGCAAGTTACTTAACCTCTCTGGGCTTCCCTGTACTTCTGAGAGGTGAAAACAGCAGTGCGTGTTTTACAGCAGGGTAAGGGGTCGACAGACTAATGCGTGTACACGATTTAGAGCAGAGCCCAGAACATGCAGCTATCATGGTCACCAACGTTTTCACACCTGGAATCACCCAGTAAGATTTCACTTAAAGAGACAGCTTGAACGTTCAAAGGTCACGGGGTGAAAGGGTGGCCTCTGGAGAGGGAACCGGGAGGCTGGGTGCAGGGCATGCCACTAAAGTGTGAGTACACGCTGTCTCTCCACGTCTGCAGGTGAGTGGTTCCAGGACAGGACACCAAGACCAAGATGGCCAAGACCCTTATGCTAAATGCCCTGTAGAGCCATGCGAACCTCCTCAGCCCTGGCATGCCAGGTCAAGACGCTGCCTCGAAATCTGTACTTGTTTGTTCCCGGACTGATGACACGCAAACGTCTCTGGGTGGTCCCATGGCATGTGATGCTTCCCTCCCTCTCTCTCTGTTGTTTGTTTTCACTTTTCTTTTTTATTGTGAGAGAGGTGTGCACACCATATTGTGTGTGTGTGTGTGTGTGTGTGTGTGTGTGTGTGTGTGTGTGGGCCCTCGAAGGGCTGTGAGAGAAGGGGGAAGAAGAAGCCAGGAGCAGTTTCCTTCTCTGCCCTGTGGGAGGCGTTGCACACTCGCCCACCATGTGAGGCACGCCTATGGCTCCACAGAGCAGATGCCAGTCAATCTGTTTTCAGTAGATAACAGCCAAAGCCCTCCTCTCAAGGCGACTGAATCCCTTCCAAGCCCTTTACTCACATTAAATCAATGCTCATGAGGATCCCACAAAGAGCAGATTTCATTACCTCCCCATCCCCCGCTTTCCTGATGAGGAAAGCAAAGCTCGGAGAAGGTGGGTAACTCACCCAAGGTCACAGAGCAGAGCTGGACAGGAACCCAGAAAGCCAGCCCCAGAGCCCGAGGCCTTACTGGGGCTACTCTGTCCCTTCGTTGTAAATGTTTGTTGAATGACTGTCTGCTTTTGAACCCTGTTTTTGGCAGGGTTGAGAGACCCATGGGGCAGGGCAGTGAGAGGGAGAGGAGAGGTAAGGGTTGGAGAGCAGAGGCTGTGAGGGTAGACACCTGGAGGAACCGCACCCACTCGCCATGGTGGTAGGGGAAGGGGCCCTGCAGAGCCTCGGGCAGCTGACTAGGGTCCACGTGGTTTCTGAGGGCCTTCAGCGAGGTCAGCACCTCCACCTGCAGATAACAAAGAGGGTTAGAAGGAGCAGAGGCCTCTTCCCAGAGATGCTGTAGAAGATCCTGTTTAGGTCTCTGCCCAGCCACCACGTCGTCGCCCACTGAGAAGGTCCAGAGCGGTGATCTGAGCAGTTGAGTTGGTTCCGGAAGCTTTGACAAATCGCTTGAACCAGACCCTGATTTCGGAATGGCACATACAAGTCACACAAACTGCTCCTCCCAAGTCTGTGTTCAAGGCAGACATCATCAATCGATGGCAGCACTCATTCTTCCGGAATTTGGCCCTTTCTCAACACCACTCTGCCTCGGGTGAAATGTATGTGGCCCTCACACTGCTCTCCAGTGACCCACAACAGTGCTGTCCCCTCCTAGGGACGAATGGTTACCAAATCATAACAACGTCCTTTTACTGGGAACTTCTGTCAGGCAGCGAGGTTTCAGATTCCAGCTCCCAGTCCCTGGGCTTGGGGTGGGGCTCATCTGCTATCCTGGAGGCTCTGGGGGAAGTTTACTGGCAACATGGCCATCATCCCCTCTGAGCACAGACTCCCAGGATCCCAGCCCCCACAGGAACTCCCATATCAGAGCCTACACCTGGATGAGCTCCCCGGAAGATGCACTCAGGCCCTGCCCCAGTACCCATCCACTAGCCCAGGGCAGGCCGGCCCTTGGATTTAAGAGTTATTTTCAGGGCAACCAATCTAGATGCTGGCGGCCAGTTCAAGTTTGAGAGGCAATGTCCAGCTCTCCCCATGCCTTCTGTTTTAATCAATTTTCTTTTACTGTGTATGAGCACAGTTGCTACAGAGTCTATGTGGAGGTCACAGGACAACTTTTGGGAGTTGGTTCCCTCCTTCCATCTTAAGTTCCAGGTATTGAACCCAGGCGGTCAGGCTTGGCAGCGAGTGCCTTTACCCCTTAAGCCGTCTCTCTGGCCCCCATGCCTGTTTTCTAACTTGGAGGAAGAGGACCTCCAGGATCACTTCGTGGAGCAGGCAGAGGCGGGGTGCCCTTGTAGGACAGGGTTCTTTCTCACAGTCCTAAGATCTACCATGTCTGAGAAATGCAGGCAGAGGAGACTCCAGTTCTGGGTCTGGCTGTTGGGTGGTCTTATGCCTCACCTATCTGTAAAGAAAAGAGCTTGCCTAGATGGAATCTTCCAAACTGATCTTTCTGAGTACACATGTCAGCCCCGTGGTGGTGTCGGAGGGATGGCAACCTGGAGCTGGCGATTTGTAGGCTAGGCTAGATTCTCTCAAGGTATGGATCAGTGGTGCAGCTCTTCATCCCTTTGCCCAGCCCCTGCCCAGGCCTCTGCTCACCTGGACAGGTAGCGCAGGTAGCTGGAGAACCGATGCCTTCTCCCCCAGGAGAATCACTTTGCTGATGGAGGCTGCAGCCAGAACCTGTGAGGAGAGAGCCTCTTCAGGACCGCTCTGTCCCCCTCTCCCCCTGTCGCCTCCTTCTTCCCAAGGGACACGCAGAGGCATGGTGTGATCCCCAGGCAGGGGCTTTGTGTGGCATGTGTACTGCCAGCCGTTCTTGAGGTCTCAGCTTCCCCATCCGTAAGGCAAGAGGTCAGATGACCAGGTACATCACACCTTCATCTGTCCAGCTGCATATTGGCTAGTCAAGATTCTTCTCTGTCAGGGTGTTTAGGTGGCCCAAGGCTAAGCCAATCAGAGCCCAGGTTCCCCCAGAACATGGGGCTAAGTTGATTAGGACTTCTGAGCCAATCAGAACTAATGATACGCTAAGAAAACTTTTGCTGGGACCCCTCTGACTGGGAATCAAGTGACTGTGTGACTTTCAAGCTGCCGGGAGCCATACTGCCACCAAGTGGAAGTGAGGCCACAGGAGAATGCCATCCTTCTAGGAGCACCTGAACAGAAATAGAGTTGGTGGCGCCCTCTGAGCTCTTGGATGGAGCCCTACCCAGAACTAGATTCAACCACTGGCTGTTAGAATGTGGCCCTGGCTCTTTAAGACAGTGGATACTCTTGGAAGTCAGACTCCACCCTGGGAAGGGACCAGGTCACACCTTCCTGCAGCTTTCTCTGGGACAGAGAGTTAAGAAGCAGTCTGTGACTTGACTTGACTTTCCTCTGTGCTGCCTGGCTCTCTGTCCCCACTCTGTCACACACTGCATACTGAGCTAGGTCGCATGATGTAAAACATGCCTCAGCTATCACAAACTTATAAAGGTCTGATGTTTCTCTTGTTTCTGTATTGTTAGAGGGATCTGCTCTTGGGACTTCTCTGAAGAGACGCTTCTGCCCACCCTATCCCTCTAATGGTGGGTCTCTCTCTCCCACCTTGCTCTCTTCCTCACTCTTTTGTTGTCCTCAAACTCACAGAGATCTGCCTGCCTCTGCCTCCGAGTGCTGGGATTGAAGGTGTACCACCTTGCTTTCTCATCCTCACTCTTAATGAAGCTTCTTTCTGGGTTTTAAGGGAAGCCCCCCCCCCCCAAGGTCTCATCGAATCTGTCTCTCCCATCTTGCATCATTTCTCTCTAAAATTCTACCTCTCACATCAAGGCCCCATCATATCCTGAGTCCCTCCAGCCTAATACCATGATTTTCTGTAGGAGTCATTTCCTTTGTCTAGAAGCCTGGTTGCAATGTTTTCTTAGTTGCTGCTAGGAGTCTCTGCCTGGGTTTTGTGATGTCAACCTTAAGCCCACCAGGATCTGGGCATGCCACAGTCCCTGGGGACTCCCAAGACCAGCTAAACATGGGCTCCCTTCATGACACTCACCTGTGTGCTCTGGAGGGCACTGAGCAGACCAGGCCTCAGGGGCTCTTTCCTGGCATCAATCACCACCAGTAGCCCCTTGGCTTTATCTTCCAGCCTGTGGATAGAAAACAGAAATGAGAGGGCTGAAGAGATGACTTGGCGGTTAAGAGCACTGTCTGTTCTTCCATAGGTCCTGAGTTCAATTCCCAGCAAACACATAGTGGCTTATAACCATCTATAATGGTGCCCCTTTCTGGCATGCAGGTGTATATTCAGGCAGAACATTGTAAATATAACAAATAAATCTAAAAAAGAAAGAGAGAGATATAGAGAAAGAAAGGAAGAAAGAAAACAGAAATGCGATCCTGCAGGGAAGCCTGGGGCTCAGGAGGCCTGGTGGAAAGGTGAGAGAAACAGTCTGGAGTCTTCACTCTGCAAGACCAATGCCTTCTCCAGGAAGCACCCATGGTTCCTCCTGAAGAATCCACAGCTTCCTCTTCACCTCACAGGCCCCAGGCGATTCATTACCAACCACCCTTTGGTTGTCAAGGGCGTGGCTGTGAGATTGTGTTAAGCCTTGATGGGTTCCGTTAACAGAATTCCACGCAAAAATAAATAAATAAAACTAAACAACCCTTACCTATTTCTTTGTGTAGGCAGGGCCCCAGTTTGTTCAGAATTTAACAGCTCCCTTGCCTGGTTTCTCATCTATAGAGGCCACACTAGTAAACCAACATCCCTGGCCAATGCCTGGGCTAGGTGGGGTCATGTGACCTATTCTTTCCCAGTGAGAGAAGACAAGTTAACCAAATGGTGTCAGACAAATCTATTTGGTCTTTAAAGAGTTCTTTGGAGGTGGGATGGAGGTGTTGGGAAGTGGGTGACAAGCAGGCGGGAAGAGAACAAGATGGGTAACCAACCACGTGACAACAGAGCCATAAAGAAACCCGTGCGTTGTATAATTACTATAACTCGGAAAACTTTTTTTCAGGGAAGAAACGAAGAATTCTAACGGTCTAACGGCCTCACGGCCTCACGGCAGACAACTCAAGGCTGCTCTGAACTCAAACTTAGCTCCTTGCACCTGACACCCCCTACTGTTGTCACTAGAGTGGACAGGGTGGCTGCTTCCCAGGTCCCAGTCTGGCCTAATTACAGACCTGGGCCAAACAGGAGTCTCCCTCAGAACGCTGGGCCCTCAGACTTTGAGCAGCAGGGGGGAGGGGCAGGAGGTCTAGTGGGCTGTAAGTGCCCTCAGCCAGCCTGCTGATCAAGACACCCCCAGCTTCCTTCAAACCTTATACTAGTTCACAGGCACAGCCCCCTCGTCCCCACATGGGTGCCTGGCCACCTTGGCACATTGTTTTATATCACCATCGCCAATGAGGCTGTGAGGATTGACAGGTTCATTAGTGTAACATATCCAGTTCCTGTCCAGTGGAAGAAAGGGCATAAATGCTTGCTACGACCACCCTCAGGTGAGGAAACAGACACAGAGCGGCCAAGCAGTAGATGCAACAGGAGTTGGCATCGCATGTTCCCCTCATCCCAGTTGCTTGTGCCCCTACTGGGCCTCCCTGGTCATTTGGAGGGCAGGGTGAGCCACAGACACAAGGTCACAGATGCGTGGGGAGATGGTCCAGGGTTCTGTCGACCACAGGGCCATTTCTCTGCACAGAGATGGTGGCCACTTTCCACCTGCAGAATATTTGTTATCTGGTGGCCTGCAGGGGGCAGGGCGCTCTGGAGGCGGGACAAAGGAGGCTCCAAGGAGCTTCCCGGCTCCCTAAACCCTGCCTCCACAGATGCCGAGCCTCCAGTTGGCTGGGGTTCTACAGCTTCAGGGTTGGGAACCGCCACCTCTGCAGGTCCCGGTGGGAGCCTGAGTCTCAGAGCAAGATGGATTTCTCCCCATGAAGTCTGAACCACCGTGGGCTGAGGGACTCGGAGAGTGCCTGTGCCTTCATCACTCATGCTTATTCTGGTGTGTCTGTGTGCCAGTGCATGCCCGAGGGGGTGCCGAGGCCAGAGGACGACCTCGGCTCTCATCCTCAGGGGTGCTCTACCTTTTTCTGTTGAAGCTGGGTCTCTCGTTGGCCTAGAACACGCCTGTTAGGCTGACTGGTCTGTCTCGGCACCCCCAGAACAGGGACTAAGATGCGCACCACTGTGCACGGCCTTTGGTCCACGGGTTCTGGAGTTAGAGCTCAGGTACTCGCCTTGCAAAGCAAGCACTTTACTGACTGAGCTATGACCCCAAACCCGGCTCTTTGATTCATTCATCCACTCACTCATCTATCGCTCTTTCTTTTATTTAGTCAACAACGTTTATATCTACGATGCTGCCTCCCCCAGAGAAGCCTTCCCTGTCTCACACCAGCCTGGGAAAGGCCCTGGCTGCAGGGACAGAACCCATCTGCCCCCACCTTTCCTTCTACACACACCACTCCACATCTCTGACACCTAGCCTGTGGCTGGCTCTTTGAATACATGGTGCGTGAAAGCACCTGGGGTCTCTCTACTACACGCTTGGCTGAGGGGTGAAGGGGTCAAAGTATGATAGTGTGCCCTTACCTGGGAACACTGCATAAGTAGGACAGTAACTCCGTGACCTCCAAGGCAGTGCACCACGGCGCCTCCCAGGCCTCCTCCTTGGTTGACACCAGAAGCAGAGGCCTCCCTACCCGGTCCCTACCACCTGGAGAGAGAAGACACATGAGCAGTGACGATTCCGAGGAAGCCTTCATGGGAGCCTCCTCCGTGACACTCCAGGTCTTTGCCCACACTGTTTTTCTGCCTGGAATGTTCTCCCTTCTCTCCCTTCTGTGACCTCCAAACTCCTCCTGTTCATCCTTTCAGAGCCACTTCCTGAGAACAGTTCTCCTTCAGCACAGAGGGTAGCTCTCTGACTATCCCTGGTGCCGTCTCTGTATAGGGCATGAACCCCAGGCAGCAGAGCTGGTGCAATGAATTCTGGGTCACACAGACTAGTTGACATCCTGACTTGCTGTGTGTCCCCAGGTAGGTCTGTGCATTCCCGAGGTCTAGTTTCATCTATCTGATGAAACATTCAGTTCGAGGCAGAGGAGGTTTCTTTGGGGATTAAGTGAGCCAGTTCCTGAGAGTGGTCCTTGCTCAGCCAGGACCAGTGGATGCATCTGTGGTGGCTGGGCACCATCTCTGTCCCCATCTCACACAGCCTACAGTCTCCCTAGGACTCAGCGTGGATGGCAGGATCTTCCTTCACCCTGTTTTCCTAGTGTGCCTCACTATCTCCAGCTAGTGGGATCCTCTCTGTCCTCGGGTGCAACCAAGGCATCACTTCCGTATCCCCAGCTTTCTAGAAACTCTGGCCCCAGCCTGGGATCCTGCAGTGGTCTTCCCCAACAACCCAGAGCTCAAGGCAGCATGAGAGCCTCCGTGCTTGAGGAGCTGGCCAGCGCGTAAAGGTTGGAGCAACACAGCTCTAGCCCGGGAGCTTGCAGAGTGCTGCTGGATCTGGAAGTCCCACCTGCCTCTTCCCCTGGCTCCCAGATGGAGTCAGTCCCGCCCAAGTTCAGGTAGCAAAGGGTCAGACACTGGATGCCCTGGGACACAACATCACGTGACCAGTGCCTGCTCTCTGCCTACCCACCAAATGCTGCCTGGACAGGAGGAGTAGGGCAACAGGCAATACCCCACCCGGGAGGAGATGCAGTCCTCCTCACTTGCTTTTCACTGGACCGAGGAGATCCCTGCGCCCTAAACACTGCCCTTGCCTGGTGGCTGGTACCAGAAACACCATCTCTAGCCCCAGAAAACCTTTCTGCTATGGCCATGCTAGGCGATCAATGTCACACAGCAATAGGAACAAAGGGCAGGTGGGGCGTGCAGGAGGCTCCTATAGTCACTGAAAAAATTCAGCAAAACTTCAACAAATGAGGGGGACACCAGCAGATGACCCCTCCAGGACCTTTGGGAAGATGAGACCTTGGAGATGTGCAAGTCCCAGAGCAGCGAGGTGGCAGGACAGGTAGTCCCCAAAGGCACAGTGGTCCTTCCTGCTCCTGACCTCTACGTGTACCGCTCCCTGTCTCAGAAACACTGTTCCCAACCTTTATATGGCTAACTCCCATTACTTATAAATGACTGCACCTTTCATTTCTTCTTCCAGAAGCCTTCCTGGGTTCTGCCACTAGATGCCTGGGCCAGGAGCACTATCTGCCTTTTCCCAGTTCCTGGAAATTTTCTTTATGTTGGATTGCAATGACCTGTTGAATTTTTTTTTCTCACGCTAGAATAAAGGTTTTGGGGGTGCAGGGATCACATCCAACCTGTTTCCTAACAGGGATGAGTCTAGAGTTCAGAAACCAGTGATTGAAATAACTATGAATCTGGAATATAAGACCTGCAGCAAGGAAGCTGTCAGCAGCGGCTCCAAAACCCTCGGTGGGCTTGTTCCGCAGAGGGACTATTAACAGGCTCCTAGAGGCCTTTTTCCTGAAGACCTGCCCTTAGCTGATTGGCCTAGCCTGCATCCCATTCCAGGGTCAGCCTGTAGTTAATGACTGACAGACTCAGGATCAGCCTGCAGTTAATGACTGACACACCTAAGATCAGCCTGCCCTTAATGTCTAACAGACCCAGACACTAAATACTGACCCCCGTGACTTAGCTGGCTAGGTGGCAAAATCTATACGCCAGGGTCTGGCTATAGCCTTGCTCATCCCTTTCTCTGCCTGCTTTGCTGTCCTCTATCCCTTTCTTGCTGGGAGCCTTTCCAAAATTCTTTGTCTCAGGCTTGGCTTCTAGAGAGTGTGGCACACGCCTTGGCTGCCTCACTGAAGTCTAGATGGGGAGATGGATTAGATGGTTGGGTGGATGGACAAGTGAACAGACAGGTGAATGGGCCTAGAAACTGCTTTCCTCTAACCTGAGCCTCTTGTTGGGAACTTTGCATCCTCCCGGGCCCTCCCCGTCTTCACCCACCAGCCTCTGAGAATGCTCTACCCCCTCTGCTCCCCTCTGAACCCTGGCACCTGGCAGGCAGGCTATCCCGGAGTGGAGAAGCTTGACTCCCAGACTCCCAATCCTGGGTTCTGGCCTGGAACACTTCTCCAAGCTAAGTTCTCCTCCTGGGGGACCTGCAGAATCTTCCTGGGAGCCAGGTGGCTCCCCAGACAGTGGGCCTGAGCCAGATGTTCTGGAGAGAATTGATTCCTCTGGGGAAGAAGAACAAAGCAGCGATGTTATACAGGAGACAGACTTTCTGAGGGGCAGGGTTTTGGGGTCTTCTACCCAAATGACAGTTCAGCCTATAATCAGATCTGCTCTCTGCCAGGGATGCTAAGTATCTTCGTGCCAGAGTTCTGTCCCCATCCCCCAAGTCCAGTCTATCTCCCCACCCCCACAACTCCTGCATGCACAAACTCAGAGAGATTAAGTGTCTGGCCAAGGTCACACAGCATGAGGCAAAAGTGGAACGTGAACCCAAGCAGTCCTAACCAAAAGTCTTGCTCAGTTCTACACTAGTAAGATGTCCTTAGCCCCCTGGGACTGAGTCAGGCTGTGGCTCCTGCCCCTCACAGCCAGAGCCTCCTGCACCAGGATAAGCTTGATTCTTGCCCTGCTGAGTGTGGGCTCTTACCTTTCCCTGGAACCTTGGCTCTGCCAGGTTGCAGAGAGCTGACAGGGCACAGGGCTTTCCAAGGCCTGGCATGCTGGAGTAGGTCCTTCTCAGGGGATGCCAGCGGTGCTCTCTGCTCTTTCAAGAAGGAGAGCTGGAGCCCAGGAGCTGGGGACCCATGGAAGGAGGTACTCTTACTGAGGCAGGCCTCAGGCTTGGAAGCTCTGTCATGTCCTGGTGTGGTCTCCTCTGTCTTTGTCTCAGACGCTAGGGCTACAGAGCCAGCTGAGGACAGGAGGGAAGAGAGTGCTTGTCTTGGCCCAGGCCTGAGCTGGACCGTGGCTGCCGGCGTTCCCAATGGCCTTTGTATCTTGGAGACTGCTGGCTCTTCTTCAGTGCCTTCCACCAGGCCAGAGGTGTAGTCTAGAGGCTTCTCCAGGACACCAGCGCGGGGCTGCTGAGGCTGTTGTACTGCACTGTTGGCAGAGGCTTTATGCCTGGCCTTTTTCCTTGAGCCCCCACTGCAGGGCTTCTCTCCCAAGCCTGCTGGCTTTGCACAGGTCCGTCTTCCCAAGGGAGGTGCCCCAGCAGGCCCTGGCAGAGGTAGGACTCTTCCAAGCAGAGATGCCCCCTTCCTCCTGGATCTCTCCTCCTGTGATCCTTGAGAATCACTGAGGGGCACTACCTCCCTGTCTGGAGATCCCCTCCTACACTCTTGAGGAAAGCCCAGGAGAGCCACATAGTCCCCTTCCAGACCCTGGTCGGCCTCACTGTCCATCCTGAAGGCCATTTTCCCTGGCCTTGTTGGCTCCACCTTGATGAGCCCTGGATACTTGTCCCCAGACAACTTCCCTTTATCCTTAGCCCAACTCTGAGAGCTGGCCTGGCATGGCTCCTGGGGGCTGCTGAGATGGAGTTCCCCTAGCTGACGGGAGTCCCCATCTGAGGAAGGGATGGTCACTACTGAGGGTCTGTCATCTACAAACTCTGGGCTGGTAATCCTGGTCCAAGGCACAGACGTGATCCCATTTTCAGAAGCCACGAGACAGTTGTGTAAGGGACGGCCCTCAAAGTCACTGTTGATGGCTTCTAACCATTCTGGCGTGAAAATCAGAGGATAGGAGGACTCAGGAACAGTCTTCTTGTCCACCCTGCGGAGGTCCGAGGAGAGGCACTTGAGTGTCATGTGGACGGACTGCTCCTCCCAGGGCTCCACTTGAAGGTAGAAATCACCCTGCCGCAGCAGGAGCGGGCTGAGGGGTGCCAGGTGGACCACGACCTCATCCCGCAGACACAGCGGCCAGCCCTCGTGCAGGAAGAGGCAGTGGGCATAGAGGGCCTGCGGAGAGAGAGGAGGGCGACACAGAAGCAGGCCCCAGGTCAGCTTCCTTTCCTCTCCCATACAGCCAGGGACGAGGCAAAGGCAAGAGAGATGCCTAGAACCAGGCACCGAAGAGGCCTTCGCTCTCAGTGTGCATGGGGCCCCTCAGTCCTATCCTTGGCGTTGGTCTTGAAGACGCTTGCTGAAGCATCTTCCCGGCCTGAAGGGAAGGCTGGAGCTCCAGGTTCTAATCAGCGACCCTGCTTGGCTTATGACCCTCCCTCCCTATTTACCCGAAACTTCTCCCAACCCAACTGGAGCTTTAGCCCTCCCAACCCCCTCCCGTTAAATCCAAGAAAGCATGGGTTGGAGGTCCAGATGGGCTTTTGTATGCATTACTGAGAGGCTCTGAGATTTGATTTCTCTATCTGACAATTGGTGTGAAATAAAACACACCAGTACTCCTGTGTTGGGGTCGGTCTGGTGCCCTGTGTAATTCAGATGCTGAATTCTGGGCCCCGAGATCTGGCTGCAGTCTGGAGGAGGGCATTGTCAGATGCTTTGGTTAATGTTTTGTAAACTTTGTTCCCCAATTATCTCTGATTAGATGATAGTAATAATAATAATAATAATAATAATAATAATAATAATAATAAAGCTGGATAGCCTATAACTGGGCAGAAGAGAGATAGGTGGAACTTCTATTCCCTGTCTTGGGGCCTCAGGTAGGGACCACGAAGAAGAAGGAAAAAGAGGTAGAGAAAGGATGTGGCAATTAAGAACTGACCTGATGGAGCAGAAATAGCTCAGACAGGAGGACCAATACGGCAAGTGATTTGGGGCACATGGCTGGAACATGGCAAGACTAGCATTGAGAATTAGTATAAATGGTTACCCGCCCAGTTATGGTCCTTAAACCTTATTAATAAATCTTATGTCTCTGTCTCATTTATTTGGGAGCTAGAGCAGGTGATTAAAAAGGCCTCCCAAAATATAACTTACTGTTACACTCCTGGCTGGCATGAGATAGATTGAATACGGATGCAGAAAAGCCAACACGATGGTTGGGGAGGTTCAGAGCACATGAATTCACTCCTTTCTGAAAATACCTGCTTGTGTGGATGTGTGTGAATAATGGGAGCGGCGCCCATGTGGAGGTCACAGAACAAGTCTGAGGCCTGGGTTCTCTTCTTTCACCTATATGTGGGTTCCAGGAATCAAATTCAAGTCATCAGGCTTGTGCGGCAAGAGCCTTTGACTACTGAGCCATCTCCCCATCTGAGCAGTTAAAATGACACAGAAACAGTATGGAATGAGAAGCCGGGAAACTTGACCCTATCACTGCCTCACCAGACCACCTCGAAAAGGCCATTGCCACTGTGGCATCATGCCATTGCTGTCTCTCTCTCTCTCACCCACAGGAGTCAGGGTGGGGGTGAGGATCTCTCACGTTCTCAGTGATTGCGTCTTGGTTTGAAGCAGAGAACCTGACCTCAAAGGACCTACTGTGAGTCCCTCTTTACTCCTGTCTATTCTGAGGTGACATGAATTTGTCCACGACAGCCAAATCAAAGGTGTCTATAATCAAGAACAAAGTCACAGAAAGGCTGTGCTTAGATCCCACACTGCAGCTGAAGCAGACCTTGAACTTCTGATCCTCCTGCCGGGTACTGGCATCACAGGCAGGCACCACTATGCCATTTCATATGGAAGAATTCAAGCCCAGGGCTCTGTGCCAGCACTCTACCGCCCAGGGCCACATGCCCAGCCCTGCACATGTGGATTGAACAACCACACACAGTGACATGGAAGATCTTTTTGTAACAAAGTCAGGAGGTCATGAGAGGCCAGGGAAAAGGCTTCTGGGAGACACTACATTCTTCTATTCTCACTAGGGTGCAGTTACCATGGGGGTTTTCTCAGCAGGTGCTGTGGGTCCTAAGATTGGCTATGTGGCTCTTGATGGAGGGTGGCAGAGGGCTCAGGGTAACTAACAGTAGCTCAAGAGGCACTGGCAAACGTCTGAGGGAGGAGGGCAGAGGCAATCAGAACTTTGATTCCTTGGTGGTCTCCCCACTGTTTTCCTAAAGCAGTTGAGGGAGAGAGAAAGAGAGAAGGAGGGAGGGAGGAAAGGAGGGAGGAGGAGGAGGTCTGGGCAATCTTACTATCCAAGTCCTCTGGTCAAGAGTGATTGGCCCAGCCATGGACACATGGCCACATCCTGGCCAATTCAGATCCTTCCTGGGACGCTTCTCTTCACAGCTGCTGTGGTTGCTGGCCACCAGAGAAGCAGAGGCCGGAGGCAGAAATGTGTCTTCAAGTGGGTTGATTGGGACAAATTCACGGCCTGAGTAGGGACTGAGCTGTTTCCTCCTCCTGCCTAAAACATTTGTCTCTCCACTTTGCTCCAAGAGTCACCACCTTGAGATCTCAAGGTTTTCAGGGGGAAAAGTCAGTGTCTTTAGGAACGCTCTGGAACATTCTCTGTTGCCTCTGTGGAAGTGGCCTCACCAGGGCCAGGGCCAGCTGCTACCATTCATGGTACCAGCACCCAGGCAGGTCCCTCAAGCCCAGGCAAGGTCCTTGGACACTTGGACTTCCTCCCTGTTGATGAATGCTAGATGTCACTGGCCCCTAGTTATCAGAAGGCCATAAATGAAATAACTTTCTTTCTCTACTGGCAGATGGCCTTTCCCTTTGGATAAGTAGTGGTTCTTGGGAACCCTCCCCACAGCCACCATAGTTCTTGTTGGGAAGACACACCCTAACCATCTTCCTCTTCCCTCGATTCCAGCCCTCTGGCCTTCTAAGAGAGCCTTGTTATCACAGCCTCCCTACTTACACAGGCTGCTTCCCGCACTTGCTCGCACAGGCGCTTGGCAGGGATGAGGAAATCCAGGAGGAAGCTCAGCCCATCTCCCCGGAAGTCAGAGTCCAGGAGCTGGAACACTTGACCCAGGACAGTAGGGGCAGTGGCTTCAAAAGGCGGGTAGAGCCCTGCCAGGGCATGCTGGATGGCCATGTCAAGGGCTGAAGGGTCCTGCTGGGGACAGCAGGGAGGAAGAGCAGTTACAGTAGCCATGAGGACAGGGGAAGCGACCACTCCTGCAATGTTCAGTACTCCTGTGAATGAGGCCTTGCTGATTCCCGTGGCCAGGGCTCCTCCCTTGCTTCACTCCAGCCTGACTGGGGAACTTTCCAAGCCTGTACTTCCTGCGTCTGCCTAGTGATGGCCCCACAGCCCAGCCAACAGAGCCCTGAGCAGCTGCCTTCCTGACCACCCCCAACAGCCCTCAGCCATGTTACCTTCAATGCCCCCCCCCCCCAGCTCACACACCTAGGACTCCTCCCCTGCCAAGTTCTATCACCAGTTTCACGCAGCCACCTTCTCTGCCTCGCTGGAGTTTTAGTCTTCTGCATTCCAGCCACCTTCCACCAGGACCCCAGAGCAAACTTACCCCAACATGCCAGGCATCTAGCAACTTAGGTCTAACTGCTGTGCACGATGCCAGCCTCCCACAGCCCTGCCACCTCTGTCTGTACTGTGACCGGAGGAGTCTCTAGCTCACCTAAGGCTTTTTCCGGTGCTGTCCTTCCTACCCAAACACCTGCCTGCCTGTTTCTCACCTCACCTGGCAATGCACTCTTTAACCTCAAGCATCGGGCCAGCCCTTGCCTCCTCTAGAGGTGCTGTGACTTCACACCCACCTCCACCCCCTGTGGTCAGATGTCCTTCTCTGCTGGCACCTTATCAGAAAAGTTCCCACACTGACTTCTGGTCCCCAAAGAACGAATGGATCAGGAAGGGTAGCATCTAAAGGTGCCGCATCCACGTCTCCACAGCCTGTGAATACAGGCAAAGAGGAACTGAAGGCAACAAAGTAGGGACTCTGAGGCAGGTGAGAAGGCATGGCTCACTCTCAACCAGATTCCAAAGCCAGGGGTGTGAGACAGAGGCCACGGCCCTTCCCATCTGTCGTCCATCCAGAGCAGGCCACCCTGCCCCCCCCCCCACCGTGTTGTCAGAATAAGTGAATGAGTGAAAAAAAAATGAATGCCTATAGTTGCAGTCTGGAGGAGAGTGGGCCATGATGTTGGGGTTATGCTAAGTTGGGGGGTGGGATCCTTGATGTGGTAGAACAGGGAGGTTTTTGTAGACCTGTTGAGCTCACCAGTGCCCCTAGCCTCACCACTAGTCAACCCCTGTTTCCCACTGCCATAGTCGGAATGAGAATGGCCCCACAAGCTCATATGTTTGAATACTTGGTCAGCAGCTGGAAGTGTTTGGGAAGGACTAAAGGGTGTGGCCTTGTTGGAGGAGGTGTGTCAGTGGGGGGATGGGATTTGAGGTTTCCACAGCTCAAGCCATTCCTAGTTAGCACTCTCTCTGTCTTATGCTTGTAGAGAAGACTGAGTTCTCTCATGGCTACTGCCCCAGCCATGCCTGCCTGATGCCTTGCTCCCTGCCAGGATGGTCACAGACTCCACTCCGCTGGAACTGCAAGTCCTAAATAAACTCTTTCTTCTATAAGTCACCTTCTTCATGGTGTCTTTACAGCAATAGAAGGTAACCAGGACAGCCATTAACCTGGGACAGTGAGAGAAAGAGCTCACGAATGCCGTCTGAGGACACAAACACAGTGAGCCAGCATTCCTTCATGCCATGTGCCCGCTCGCCACCCTGTCTGCACTGGGAGGCTGCCCCACCTGGCTTCTTTCTCCTCTTGTGGCCTTGACTAGGGGCTTCCTCTCTCTAGACCTCATCTCCAGCCAGCCGGGATGTCTGCTTCAGTCTTGAAAATGTAATTATTTACGACCTTCAGCGTTTGCACTATTAAAACTGTTGTTTTTGTTTTGTTTTCACATCTATCCACTCTGCAGAAAGGTACATAACTGTGTTCCTACCTCAAAAGGAAAGAGAGAGGAAGGGAAGAAGGGATGGAGAGAAAGAGGGAAAGAGATTAGTCTCCAGGCACCTGCTGTGTAGTAGCCTTACACTCTCAGTCTCTTGCCTGGTATCACAGACAGTGATGCCACTACTAACCTAGGGAACCCCATTTTGCTGGTTATTGGTCAGAGCCAATTTTGTCAGGGTCTTAGAATGAAATAGACAGTAACAATGCAACCCAGACCCATGGCAGTGAAGACAGCTGGTTTCCCCTGCCTCTGGCTGCCTGCTCCGTCTGAGATCCACTCCTTTCAGGGTGGTCTGTCTAGGATTCTAGTGGCCTAAAGAAACCACAAGAGGAAAAGCAAGGTTTGCCCACTGAGCCAATCTTGGCTTGCACAGGCTGCCTGCACTTGCCACACACTTTAGCCACCTTCAAAAGTGGCTGGACAGTGGGAAATTGTGACGAGGCTACCCTCCCGTCGGCACACTACCTACCAGAGGCTTGACTCCAGGGTCTCAGAACTGTCCAAGAACTCAGGAAGAACATGGTGAAAGGGCCCCGGAGGGTGCAGGGAGGAGTGCTGGCCCCTTGCCATCACAAATGAGCTGAGCAGCCCAGCCCAGGACCACAGGAGTCCAAATCTGCTGCCAGACTCTAAATGATTGCTGTGAAACTTGATAGGCACATTTCCATTCCTTCCCAGTGAGGGCGGCCCCGGCAGCAGTCGGTTGCTCCTCGTAGGAGCCAGGCATGGGATGGAAGATGAAAAAGATGGAGCCACGACCCCCTTTGCAACTGGGACCAGAGAAAGAGTCCAGCACACTGGCCAAGGATGGACATATGAAATGAAGCTGTAGTTTCTTTTTAAAGGGCTGAGCTGGAACCCAGGGTCTGTGCATGAGAAGCAAGAATACGCTACAACTGCAGGCCCACCTCCACGCCATCTTCATGCTGCCAGCCTTTGGCCTGTTGAGATAGATTCTCACCAGAAGCTCAGGCTAACCTTGAACTCATTATGTAGCCCAGGCTGACCTCCAATCCTTACCTCTGCTTCCCCAGTGTTGGGATTACAGGACTGTATCACTGCTCTGGGCTGTATACATCTATTTTAGCAACTTTGCAACGGGCCTGCTCTATGGTCATCCTAAACATCAATTTCTATCAGGCAAAACTCAGCAAATGCAAAGAATGCAGGCAGACATACTTTTATCCATGTACCGATCTTGCAACCACTACCCAGCTCAATATGCAAGGGTTCTGTGACCCCCCACAAAGAGGCTCACTCCTAGCCAGCTGCTCCCTCTCCAAAACTAAGCTTCTATTATAATGTTTTTAAAGAAAATTTTCCATACAGTACAATCCACAGAATGCGAGTAGGTCCAGACAAAGCCCAAGTGGGCATTAAGCAAAGTTATCCCGAGGGCAGTGAGGGGCAGGGCCTCCCGAGACAGCCTTTTAATTTTCTTCCGAGCTTGCTATATTTTCCAAACATTCTGGAACCAGTCAGTGTGGCTTTTATAACCAGGGGTGGGGAAAACATAAAAGTGTGATCGTGTGTTTTTAAGGCTGGCTCCTTTTTTTTTCTAAATGGTCTCGCCAGATGTTGTTAGCTGGGCCTTCCGAGATGTGGGCTGGACTGCCTTAAAGGTCCAGATCTTTCCACTTACTCCACAGAGCCAAGATTCTAGTCTCATTTGGCTTCTTCCTCCTCCTCCTCCTCCTCGTGGGAAGCAAGAGGAGTGGGAAGGGCTGGTGTGGGCTGGGTCCTAGAGCATTCCCTCTGCTCTGTGGAAAGGCTGAGATTCAGCTTGGGGGTGGGGAGTGCTCACCTCCTCTGCACAGACCTGGGTTCCATCCCCTACCCCAAAATGAAGAAGAAAGCAAAAAGCTAGAAAAGGTGAGACACTGACTATGCCACGTCGGGTGACTTTGGCCACAGGTTCACCCCTTATAAACGGTGCTTGGACCTCATCAGAGAATTTTCTTTGTGCAGTTGGCTATGGTTAAGGCAGGAAATCACAACTGGTCCAAGGGCCTGATGCGTCATACCCATGGCTCGGACCATCGTGGAAGACGAGGCAGAAAGATTTTAAGAGCCAGAGGTCAGAGGTGACCAGCTTGCTTTTAGAGTCTCAGCCCAGACAAGTTCTGGAGGAGAGTTCCCAGACAGCTGGGGAGGACAGTGTCTCCTGGACACGACAGGACCTTGGCACTCACAAGTTCACAGCAGCTGTGGCTGCCCACACAAGAGCTGCTCAAGATGAAGCCAGTCAGCATTCCAGCACAAGAGCTGGGAGAGGCCGGCAGCCTTCCTTCTGCCTGTTGAGGAGGAGCTACTGAGGGCTGATGGCTTCTGGAGGAGGTAGAATGAGTATATGAGCAGCACAAATTGGACTCTACAGCTCATTAAAAACAAACAAACAAACAAACAAACAAACAAACAAACACAGGATACAGGGTTGGGAAGGAGAGGGGAGTGGAGGGTGGGTCTCAGAAGAGTTGGGGAAGAGGTGAAAGTAAACATATTGCATACTTGCATGAAATTTCCAAGGAATTAACACAAATATTACATTTGTTCTTTTTTAAAGCATTGGGCATATCTGTTCTAGAATTCTCCGTATGATTTAGTTCCGGAAGATGTGGGGTAAGGATGTGGTCTTTAAAATGGACCGATCTTCAGCTGCTGAGGAAGTTTCACAGGTCCAGCCTCATCCCGTGTCCCTGCTCCTGCCTGGGAACTGTCTAATGAGGGGGTTTGCCTGTGATACGAGAGACAGGAGCAGATGAATGTGAGAAAGTGCAACCAGACCCTCACTAAGGACCCCAGCCACCCACCTCAGAGGAGCAATGGGGGCAACGGGCCTGGGACACGGAGGTCACTGCGGTCCTGCCTTGCCTGGCCTTCTGGATATTCAGTAAACCTCCAAGTGCTTTCAAGATCAGCCAAAGCAAGCACATCTGTGAGCCAGCCACTGCCCAGCAGGTGTCAGACTGCAATCTCCAGTTCCTGGGACTCTCCTCTTGAACTTGTCTGGGCTGAGGCTCCCGAAGTTAGCTTTCCGACAGTCCGAAAGCTCCCGCTCACATCCAACTCAAATTGTTTGCGCTTTTTGTCTGTGTGTGGGCGGATGGATGTTGGAGTGAGAATCCGGCTCTTTGCAAACCAGCTTTCAAATCAGCTCTTTATAAACAAACTTTCAAAACTGGAAGGATGGCCAAGAAGCAGTGAACGAGGACGGGAGTGGGTGTCTAAAGAGCTGCGTTCAAGTCCAGCTCAGTCATGCGGCATCCAGTAAGTTCTTTCTGCTTCTCCAAGCCCTCCCTTGTCTTTCCTCTCCTATGCCTCTGTCCTGGGGCACAACTTCTTACTCAAGCCGTAAGATGACAAAGTTGACCCCTCGGGCTGCCTCTGTGCTCCCCTGAGCAAGCCTTCAGGATGAGGCCAGCACTAAGTCCACTCCACGAATGGTTTTATGGGATTGTCCTGATGATTCTGTGGGCAGGGTATCTTATCCCCATTTTACAGGTTAATACACAGAGGCTCACACTGTCTTCCTGGTCAGCGGACAGGAACATCACCTGAGGCTCCCTGTAGACTCATGCACAGAGACCCAATTGTGGTCCTCAGTAACATCGGGTGGGTCCTATTGCCTCAGCAGCTTGCACGCCCGCTGCTTCGGACTGCCATCCTTCCTTACCTGCTTCCTAAATAGACCCTGCTCTGGCCAGGACTTCCCCTCCTCCACCTCCCCCATGGGCAAGGTTTTCTCGCCATGATCACATACCTGGATTTGTTATTTGCTTAGTATTTATTCTTGATTATTCAATGTTTGACTTTTCTTCCTATTTCATTTTCAATGTAAATTTGCTTTATTTACTGTCATGTGTTTGTGCCATTTCCATAAAAATTTCCCCTAAGTGCCACCTCGTTTAGCCTGCGGCATCCCCTTCTGGGCACCTGCTGTCTCCGCTCACATGGTACCTCTCTCTGCACTCCTACCCACCCTTCTAAGTCCTGCCAACGGGGCATCTCTTCTCAGGTTTCCATGGCACCTGTGCTTACGAGCAAGGAATGCAGGCTTCTTTTGCACTTGCCCACTTACTCTCTAGGTGTGAGAATGAGTTGCAGGTTGAAGGCCAGCTCAGGCAGTGTAGCGAGATCCTATCTTGAAATAAAGTAAGTAAAGAGAGAGCAGGGGCTACGGCTCAGTGACAGTACAGTTCTTAACATGCACAAAGCCCCAGGTTCAATCACTTTCAAAAATCACAGCGCTAAATCTCCAGGAGCCAGAAAAATGGCCCAGCAAGTTGAAGCTCTTGCCACCAAACCTGATGCACCACACGGTAGAAGAGAACCCACTCCCCACAAGTAGTCCTCTGACCGCCACACGCATTCGGAAAGGCATGCTACAATGAACTTGAGCAGGTCACAAGAGGATAAACCATGGCGGTTTTGTTTGGGTGGAGATCTACAGGACAAAAAAGAATATCCCAGCAGAGACAGCACGTGTAAAGGTCCTGGAGCAGGAAGGACCGTGAACCCTAAGGGATTCTGAAACCAGGTCAGAGTACTCAGGGCACAAAGTTAAGATCAGAGAAGAGGCTGGATGGTGGCATTTGCTATTTAAAGAGTGAAGAGAGTAGTGGAGAACCTTATGCCCACACAACAACCTGGGTGTGGCCTCATGCATGCCTCTAACCCGGCACTGAGCGGGACAGACACAGGAGGATCCCTGGGGCTTTTCCAAGCCCAGCCAATAAAAGGTAAGGTCCAGGTTCAGGGAGAGCCCCTGGCTCTGAGGGGTAGGTGGAAGTGATAAAGGAGGATCCCCACAAGGCCCTCTTTCAGTTTCTGTGTGCGATGCAGGCACCCGTACATATATATATACACATACATACACATACATTCCCTCACACCACATAATACACAAGCAAGCACACGCCCACTCACCCACCACACATGCACACACACAAATAAACAGAGGAAAGCGTGCCCTTCCTACCCGCTCAGGAATACTTTCTCAGAGGTTCACGAGGAGCAGCCCAGGAACCCCGGCCCTGAAGGTCTGGGATTCACTGAAGGGGTTTATAAACATGCATAACTGGTTCCATCAAAACCAGACCTTTGATAAACAGATGAGCTGTGGCACTGAGGTGGGCTGGGCAGGGTGAGAATTCTGGCTGTTGTACTTTGCACTTCCTGCAAGGGTGACTTTCCTGCCACCTAGGCTCCTGGGGCTTCAGGGTCTCCTCTGTGCGATGCAGGGCCGAAAGTCTACAGTTAGAGCTGGCGGGAGTGGTATGTCCACCATTCGTACAGTGCCAGCACAGAGGCAGACAATCAGTGCCTTAGGCCATGCCACTCAGGAAACACTTTGATCTGCTCCGAGAACAGTGTGCCCCGTGCTTCTGGTGTCTGCATTTGGAGCCTGGGTTTGTACTGTGTGTGTGCACAGGTGTTTGTCCACATGTCAGCACGAGCAAGCAGGTACATGATGCCTGTGTGCTGGTCCTCGATGTGGGAAAAGGGATTTGCCTGCGCATATCTGCGTGTGAATGCACCCTTCTGTAGAGCTGGGTGTGGACCTGCCTGGGAAGGGAAGCCCACCCAAGCCAGCACAGCCAATCAGAGTCAAGGGGTGAACGCCCTGGCCTGTCTCCCAGCTCGTCCAAATCCCCTGAGATTTGCAAAATTGCTCCTGTGACTCCTGCCCAATCCTGTCTGGAGCTGAGCTAAGACTCGCCAACAGACTTCATTTTGATTCCTTCGTCCCAGACACTGGCTCAAAGGCACACACAACCCTCCCTGAGGTCCCCTTCCCAGGATGCAGGTCCAGGAAACCCAGGCACAGAGGCACTGCACTCACTCAGCCTTCTCCCCAGCTGCCTCTACACCTCATGCTCACGGGAGGACCCCATGGTCCAAAGCATGCACGTTTCACTTGACAACCCCCCCCCCCCCGTGTCTCAAACAGCGAACGCACCCAAGATTTGGTGAGCAATTCCCTCTTAGCCACCCTACTGCCCTCAGGGTCTGCCCTTTCCCAGCGCTATTGCTGAGAGGAGACTTTGATTGCTGTCCCGGTTCAGACCCCCTACAGGACACAGAACTGTCAGTAAGTATAGAGTTTAAAGTGCTAAAAACACCCCAAGTTTTCTGCATGGAAAAAGGTCCAGGATTCCAGCTCAGATTTGCGTTCTGGTTTGGAGCGAGATGAAAGCGTGCATCTCTGCAGAGAGGCCCAGCCAGGACGCGCGGCCCAGGAGGGGCTCTGAGCCCCACTCTTGCCCTAATCCTGCTGGGGCTGCGTAGTTATGCACCGACCCAGGCCAGGAAAGGAGGATCGCTGGGTGCACCCCCCCGGGGGGAGGTCTGTGCGGGGAGAAAACCCAGCAGAGTGAGGTGGTCCAGGCCCGGGAAGGCGTTACCATGGTGATGCCTCTCTGGTCCCCACGGCGGCCGTCTCTGTCCCGCGTAGCTCTGGCTTCCTACCTCTGGGCAGAGTGAGGAGGGAGGGCGGGGAACTGCCAACCCAGCCTCATCCCGAGGGGCAGCCAGCCCGGCACAGGGAAGAGTGAGAGGGGACCCAGACAGAGGAGGCGAAAGAGGGAGTGGGGGGAGAGGCGGGCCACCCGCGGGGGGCGGGGCGGCGGCGGGACAGCGGCTCTTTGTGCGACGCCTCGCCCTGCGCCCGCCCCGCCACCGCTGCCGCCGCCGCGGGTGATGGGAGCCAGGCGTTCAGCGCACCCCGCACCCCCTGCCGAGGCCACCAGAGCTCCAGTCGGGGCGGGGGTGGGGGGGCGTGGCGCTACCCAGAGCTTCCTCCAGAGTCCTCACGCAGGACTGCCGAGTCAGAGGAGTCAGAGCTGGCTCCTTGTCTGTATCTGCAAGTCACTGTCGCCTAAGCCTCAGTTTCCTCACCTGTAAAATGGGGAGGTGATGGGGGCGATTCTCCTGGAATTGGGGAGCAGGGGTCAGCATCGGTCCTGACGGCCCAGTCTCAGGACTGCTGAGCCAGAACAACACAGAGATCCTGCCCCGGGGGCGGGGGTGGAACAGAGAAACAAGGGAGCATTAACTGCTGAGAAGGAATGCAGCTCACCAGGATCTCCAGCCAAGGGGATGGGGAGATTCGGCTGCTTTTCTAGAGGACCCAGGTTTGATTCCTGGCTCCCATCTGGAGGTTCACAGCCATCTGTGACTACTAGTCCTAGGGTATCCAGCACCCTTTTTTGGCCTCTGAGGGCACCAGAACACACATGGGACACAGATACACACCCAGGGAAAACACCCACACAGGTTTTTTTTTTTTTTTTTAAAAAAAGAGTGGCCAGATATGAGTGAACGGAGCAGGGGCAGCAGTAAGACGGAGCTCTAGGCAAGGAGAACCACACATGGAAAGCCTCCAGGGTGGGTGCTGAGCCTAAGCCAGTGGGGACAAGTGAGTGGAGAATAGGAAGGACGGGCCCACAGCCATGTCCCTCCTCACACTGGTTATCCAGTCTCACTGCAAGAACCTGAATTAGGAGCCATTCCAGATCCTTTCCTGCCCCCTGGGCCCCGTTTATTGCTGTTGAACTAGTAACTCCCCAGTAGTTTCAGGATGCTGTGGATACCCTTGGGGAAGTCACTTAAACATGAGATAACCCCTCCCTAAGAGACAAGAAGCAGACAGGGCTGGGGTGGTTTTTGTTTTGTTTTGTTTTGTTTTGTTTTGTTTTTTGAGACAGGGGTCTTGTGTTTAGCTGCCTGGTCTAGAATTCCATGCATAGCTGAGGATGACCTTGAACTTCTGATCCTTCTGCCTCCATATCCCATGTGCTGGGATCCCTGGCATGCACCACCGCATTGTGTTTTTTGTGGTTCTGGGCCTTTAGACATGCCCGGCGAGCACTCTAGGAATGCAGTTGTTTAGGAGAAAACAGCCTTTGGCTTACAGGCAGATTTCAGCTGGGAGGTGGGGTTGTGGGTTCCTGACAGAAGGAGCACCAGGGTCAGTTTTCTGGGATCACGGGAGACAGAAAGGATTCTGACTTAGGGAAGCAGAGGAAAACGGATTGAAAAGGTCTCAGGTGTCACTCACAGAGTCTGTGGTGAAAAAGCTGGGAATCTCACTGTCGTGAGGACAGGGCTTCTGCTGTCCTGCTCCAGGGGTCTCATTGTCAGGAATAATCTGGAAGCCCCTGAAAGCCAGTGGGATTACTTCAAGCCGTGAGCCGTGACCACACTAAAATGGAACTTTCTGTACATCAGACACTTTTGAAAGTAAACTCAGGGTGGGTCCAAGCCACTGGCATCACTTTACAGATGAAAAGCCCGAGGCAGAATCAGGCGGGGTAGAAAGCTTCATTCCCAGACTGAACAAGGCCGTCCATTCTAGAAACCACTCCGTTAACTACCTTGGTGCGCTGCCTGGATGAATCCCAGACATTCCTCTTGCCTGGGTCACTGTTCCAAATCCTTACAAGGGCAAGCCAATCAGGTCATGCCTACGTGTGCTCAGGAATCCAGTAGGACTGACTACCCATATGAGGAAGAGCTGGCTGTCCAAGAGATTAGAGCGCTGGGAAGGAGGGGGAATGGACACGAAGTGGACTGTAAATGGCACACACCACTGCAGTCCACTGTTGGGCCTCTCAGCATCCTTCATGCCTGTGCCCATGTGTGTTCTCCCCCAAAATGTGCTGCACTGATATGTCTTAAGAATTTCACAGACACCCAAGAGTGTGTCTGCTCATGTTTGCACTTCTATATGTGCACACAAACACACACACGCGCACACACACGCACACACCTATGTGCTCTGAGCCCATAGAACACCCTTCAGAGCCTCAGATTTCCCTTTTGGATTTAGACTATGCCTTCTCACAGGACTGCCATGGGGCCTCATCCAGCAGGCGAATGTTTAGAGCTGTGTTCAGTGCTAGGGACATGGAAGAATTCACTTAGAAAACTTTAGCTCCGGGGCTGGACGTGATCCCTCTGGACTTTCCAGGGGATTCCCAAGGGTTGGTTAAGTATTCACATCCTCTCCCTTCAGTGACTAACTGAACTGTGTCCAATTGCTGGGCTGCACTTGCAGAAATCAAAGCCACCCCCACCCCCGTCTCACATCTTTGGAGGGAGGGTGGGAGATGGCATGGGTAGTGTTTCTGCTGGTGATTTCTTGGGTGGTCCTGAGGAGATTGCATCCCTCCCGGAGCTAGAGTTTCCTCAGTGGGCAATGGAGGTTCCAGATGCTCCTGGTGGAGACCGTGGGAATCCAGAGATAATTCCCTGGAAGGGTGAAAACTAAGCCTGGGTTATGACAAGCCTCAAGCAACTGATAGCTCTGCCTGTGACCTTGAGACTTTTGGGGCCAGGTGCTAGGACACCTCACCAAGGGGGACAGGCTCATTGGGGGGAAAAGGGAGTTGCCAAACTTAAGAAGAATGTCATGGGATTCAGAGTTCATTAACTCCTTTGCTAAATACTTGTTCCTGTTGTAAGGGACGCCAGACACTTGGCACTCATGTATCCATCCACTTACCATTCCCTGTCCAGACCGACACTAAAAATCAATCACAGAACTTCTAGAAGAGCCTACAGGCAGCCACGGAATCCTCCTCAATGTACAGTACAGGCAGCTGACACCGATCGGCACAAGTGATCATGGATCTGACATTCATTTGTCATCTATGGTCCAAATGTTAGCATGGGCTGGCCTGGAGGAAGACACAGGTTCCCAAGGCTGAAGATTTGGCTCTGAGTCTTGCCTTAAAACCCCTGATGAGGTGAGAGTGTGACTCAGGGGTAGAGCACTTGCTTGGCACATGTGAGGAAGCCCTGTGTTCCACCCCAACACGGCAAAAGCAGACAAATGTCATACCCTGAAGGCCATTGTGAGAATGAGTAGATGCTGAATGGGTGGCAAATGTAATCTATGGAGACCTCAAGTAAAAAGCCAGAGTCATGGGAACCTTCAAGATCAGCTTCATGGACAGGCCCACTGTTTTGAACAGGTGCTCTGCTACCTTTTCTGTGGCTGTAACACAGCACCCAGAGGCAGAACAATTTATGAAGAAAAGAGGTTTATTCGGCCCCACAAGGGCTGGAGTTGAGATTTCAAGATAATGGAAGTGTTGATGAGTAAGAGACCCCAGAGAAAAATAGAACAGGCAGGTGTTATATTTTTGTCCTGAGAGACAGGGAATGTGAGTTTTCTCCTGAGAAGCATGAAGAGTCAGGTGGGAACTATAGGGGGGCTTCCCTGAGGTCCCTCTAACTGTTGGACAGACGTAGTAGTGGGACCATCAACCCAGGATGGTGGATCCCGCAGACTCCGGAGGTTGCTAGCTAGTCCCAGCACCTCCTCAGGCTCTGGACTTTGGGTTCTATCCCCTGGAAATTCTCTTTCCCTTCCAGCCCAGCCCTGTCCTGATTCATCAGCTCCATGGCTGATTCACACAATGGCCACAGACTCCTAGGGCCTGTGGGCTGTGCCCCTCTTCACCTGGGAGACAGCTAAGAGCTGCCAGCTGAGGGAGAAAGGACTGCAGCCCTGCCAGCCCTGGGCGCTACTTAGGTCTTCCTGCTTCCCGTCGTGGAGGGGAAGCCTGGTGGCCAAAGGCAGGAGCATGAAGCCGATGCTTCTCACCTGGTGCCAAGCAGAGAGAGGTGTGCGTCGGGACTCCACACCATGGGCCAGGGAAACCCCCTAAGCTAATCCTTCCCAAAATCCCCTCAAAGACACACCCAGAGGTATGCTTCAGGCCCTTAAGTGATCTCATGCCAGTCAAGCTGACAATGAAGATTAATCATGACACCACGGACAGGTACCACACGGGAGATCTTGTGTAGCCAGAGAAGCCAAAGGATCTCTATACACTACACTGAGTGATTTCTAGTGGTTGGTGTTAAGCAAAACGACCACCTTTCATTGAAGAAGGCAGAAGAGGGTTCCTTCCTCTGCGCTAGCTGCGAAGAGGCTGCCATCTCTTTTGTGGCATCGTAGCTGCCCTCCAGCCTCTGGTAAAACCCACGATAGTTAAAAAGAGGATCAAGAAGCTCTTCAGGCACCAGACTGATATGTCAAAACTAAGCAAACCTGGTGGAAGCCCAGAGGTTTCGGCAAGAGGGTTTGGAGAAGATTCAAGGGTCAGATCCTGATGCTTACCATTGGTTACAGGAGCAACAAGAAAACTAAACACATGCGGCCTAGTGGCTTACGGAAGTTTCTGGCCCACAGTCTCAGGTTGCCGGAAGTGCTGCTAATACCCAACAAATCTTACTGTGCTGAGAGTGTCCACAATGCTTCCCCCAAGAACCAAAAAGCCATCAGAGAAAGAGCAGCACAGCTGGTCATCAGAGTCACCAATCCCAACGCCACGCTATGCAGTAAAGAAAATGAGTAGATGGCTTATGTACGTGTTTTATTTGTGTTTAAGATAAAACCACAAAAAAAAATGGAAAAAATTTTAAAAAGCAGAAAAGAGGTCTGAACAGGTGGCTCAGCAGTTAAGAGCATTTGCTGCCCTCCCAGAGGGGTCCCAGCTCCTTCTCTGCACCTACATCAGGCAATTCACAACATCTGT